CGCTATGAGTCGCAAATGACTCGGCGGCACATAACAACAACAACAGCCCACTAGAGAGTCATACTGCAGACCCAGAAGTGGCTCCTCTCTGGTGGTTTGAATCCACCATTGGCACCATGGGAGAAAGATGAGCAGTCTCCTCCCCTGGGATTTACAGCCTCTGAAAACACACTGCAGGGAATGGGAACATTAACAGCAATGAAGGAAATACACTCTTAGAGAGATCTGGTGGCCTAGTTTGTGGGAAGTTGTGTGGCTAATCCAAGTCATGTCTCTCTGACAGTTTGAATCCACCAGTAGCTTTGAAGGGTAAAGATGGTCATTCACCTGTGTGATTTACAGCCTCAGATTGACTGGAGGGTGAACTATAAGTCATTTTTGAATCTATGGCAAGAGTCTGATGTTGTTGTTTTTTATTATACTGTACTTATTAACTCTTAAGAGCCCTGGTGGCACAGGGTTTAAATACTTGACTGCAAAGAACTGAAAAACAAATTCAAGCCTCAAGTTGCAATAAAGAGAGATGCTATGGGAAAAGTCTTGAGTGATCCAGGAAACATCAGCAGAAGGTAGAGGAAATACAGAGAGCACTGAAATATTTCAGGAAATAGCATATGATCAGCAGCCACTGGAAATGAGGGAAGAAGTTCAAGCTGCAATGAAGGCATTGGGGGGAGGGATTCCACAGGAATTGATGGGATACCAAATAACATGTTTCAATTAACAGAGGCCAGGAAATTTAGAGGACAGCTATCTGGCCAAATGACTGGAAGAGATCCCTATTTATTCCCATTCCCTAGAAAGTGATCCAATAGAATGTGGAAATTAGTGAATAGTAGCATTAAAATCAGATGGAAACAAAATATTGCTATTTATGATGATCTAAAAACAGTTACAACAGTTCACTGACAGACAACTGCCAGAAGTTCAAACTGGCTTTAGGAGAAACTAATACCAAGGATAATAATCACTATTGCTGATGTCAGATGAATTCTGACTAAAAGCAGAGAATACCAGAAGAATGCCTGTGTTTTTATTGACTACACAAAGGTATCTGACTGTGTAGATCATAATAAACTATGGCTAACATTGAAGAGAATGGAAATTACAGAGTACTTAGTTATGCTTACATGAAACCTAGACTAACAAGCTACTGTCTGAACAGATCACAGGACCTGCATAGTTTTAAATCAAGAAAGGTGTGCATCATGGCTGTATCCTTTCTCTGTACCTATTCAATCTGTATGCGGAGCAAATCATTTGAGAAGCTGAACTTTATGAAGAAGAATCTGGCTTCAAGATTAGAGGATGATTCAGCAGCACCCTGAGGTATTCAGATGACAGAACGTTGCTTGATGAAAATGAGGACTTGATGTTCTTGCTCCAGAAGATCAAGGATTACAACCTTCAATAAAGATTGCATCTCTACATCAAGAAAACAAAAATCCTCACTACTGGGCCAATAGGCAATATGATGATAAATGGAGAAAGATTGAAACTGTCATCTTCCTTGGATCCACAATCAACATTCAGGAGATCAAGAGACGTGGGAGATTCTAGAGAGCATTTTGCTGATTAAATAACTCAGTGACATAAAAATAAATACTGCGTAATACCACTGTTGTGAAAATAGGAAGATAACTTATCAAAATAGGGTCTGTAGGGAGGCAAAGAGGGTGAGTTTGCTTAGAACAAGGCAGAGAGGATGCCTGAGGTCTTTCTGTCAGTACCTGCCTAGCCCCGCGAGAGACCCCTTCCCCAGCCATCCCCCACTCCCAAGGTCCTTAGGTTAGTGCCAAGGCCCACTGTCCCTGGCCAAGGCCCCAGCCCAGTCCGGGGCCTGGGAAAGATGCCTGTTTTTGTTCTCAGCTTGAACCTGTCCTTTTCCCCCCATTCATTGCAGTTCCAACCTTTTCCAGTCCACAGGGATCAGGGCGGCAGGGCTGAGGTGAGGAGGTGGCACTCCCAGTCCTGACAGGTAGGGCCAGTCCCTGCTGTGGGCAGCTCCATGTCCCACCCTCCCCCCACCTTGGGTCCTCTTAGCCCCTGTCAGCCACTCCAGACACTACAGCTTTGCAGCATTCAATAAAAATTGAAAAACATTTAAAAAAAAAATAAAGGAAGGGGAGAAAGCAGGACAAAAATGGGAGGGGCAGAAAAATCACTAGGATAGCAGAGGTAAGTGGGCAGAGGGCAGTTGAAGAAATATGAAAGAGTCAAGGAGTTAAGACAGGGAGATAATAGGCATAGATCAATAGTAATTAACTGTATAAAATAGACTGTACATGAATGCTTGTATAAAACATAGTATACATGATCAAAACACAACGTACATGAATGATTGTATGCAAACCAATATAAAGGGAAAGAGGGACATACAGCATCGGAAAGGGAGATCTGGTGTGCTACTGGTGAGGAGCTGTGCTGCCATCCCAGAGGAGTGTAGTTTTAATCTACTAGGCGCTCCACAGAAGAAAAAGGGGTCCCTTCCTGTGCAATTCAACTGCCTCTGAAAACCCACTGGTAGGTCAGCTATGATTCAGTTCCAACTCAGCTGTACACATCAACAACATAGCATTGGAAAAGTCTGCTGTCATGGACCTCTCCAAAGGCCTGAAGAGTAATGATGTCAGTTTAAAGACTAAGGTATGCCTGATTCAAGCCATAGTTTTTCCTTTCACCTGCTACGCATCTGAGATCTAGACAGTGAATCTGAGTGACAGAAGAATTGATGCCTTTGCGTTGGATAATGTTACTGAATATCCCATGCACTGCCAAAAGAATAAACAGATATGTCTAAGAGAAGGAGCAGCCAGAATGCTCCTTGGAGGCAAAGATGGCAAACCATCATCTCACATACTTTGGGCATGCGCTATTCCTTGGTCAGGGACATCATGCTTGGAAAGGTGGAGGGTTGTTGAAAGAGAGGAAAACCCACAACGAAATGGACTGACAGAGTGGCAACAGCAATGGGCTCAAGTGTGTAGGGGATGATAAAGATGGCACAGGATAGGACAGGGTTCAGATCTATTGTTCATAGGCTCACTATGAATCATACTTAACATCTAACAACAACAACAACTGAAAGATCAGCAGTTCAAAACCACCAGCCATTCCACACACAGAACATACTGCAATCTGCATCTATAAATATTCACAATCTTAGAAACCCTATGAGACACTTGTCATCTCCCCTGTAAGATCACTGTAAACCAGAATCAACTCAATGACAACAGGTATCGTTTATTGTTATTGCTGTTGAGTACCATCAAATCAGGACTGACTCGTAGCTGACCCTCCAGCAGGTTTTCAGAGGCAGTAAATCACACTGGAGTTGACTGCCCATCAATTTCCTGCAGAGCAGCTGGTGGATTTGAACTGCATGCCTTTGTGTTGACCACACACTTTCTTACCAGTGGCCACGAGAGCTCCAATTATAATGGGTTTATTTCACAGTAAATTTTTTAGTTTGTTAGCCATTATTACTGCCCCATAACAGCCAAATACATTTCTTCACATGTTATTCCTCATAAATGTTGCTTACTCTGTGTGTGTGTGTTTTTTTATCTTGTGCAACTAAAAATTATTGGCTCAGTTTTTAAACAGGATAATAATGGAGAAACATCATTCATGAAGAGTGACTCCTGGTCCTCCATGTTAGGAGGAATTTGTGAGTTCCATGCCATTGAATGTCAGCCCAGCAACCAGGAAATGAACATGAGGTGAGTATTAGTCACATGAGAGTGAGTAGTACCTCAGAAGTCTTAAGGTGTCATAGTATAAATGTGTGCATATAAAATAGTTCAAAAATGGTGTTTCCACAATACAGCATTCCTATAAATGTAAATCACATATTCATTGTAAGTCTGTGTCCTTTAATGTCCATGATACACTGTGAAATATGGTATTGAGTGATGTAGACATTGTGTAACCACCATATTATATGCAGAAGAGAGGGACACAGGATGTTCATTGGGTAGGCTCAGAATCTTCAACATGATCACCATGGTGAGACTCTGTTAAAAGCTTTAGCTCCTCAGCTATTGTCACTCCTGTGTGGTCCCTGATGGGTGTCCATGGCCACCCCTGACCTGTGCCACAGTGCACATTCCCTATGCAACCAGCTACCTGCAAGCATGCTGCTAGCTCCTCTTTCTCCTTCCTTACCCTTCAGTTATGGGCTTAAATTCTCCCATCTCTCCTTTGCCTCCTCACATGGCTGTCTTTAATTGGTTCTTACTACCAATACTAGCACACTTTGGATTGCTCAGTGGCCACCACTGCAGAAGTCATGGCCTTGCTGAGTCGGGCAGTGACCTCCTCAGCAGCTCTGACATTATCTATGAAGTCCCTGCTTGAGGCATGACAGACAAGTACTGCTGCCTTAAGACTGGCTTAGACAGGATCTGAAGAGCTAATGAGAGACAAGATCTATAGTACTTTATAAAGTATGTCTACTACATTCCTATTCTCTGATTTTGGATTCTAGACTCTATTAAAATGTTATGGTAGCATCGATGTATAATATAGTCAGACATTGCTCAGATGGCTGTTACACAGAGCATACCTGTATTTGAAACATTTTAATTTGTTCATAATTATCAGAAAGCTCTATTATTTAGAAAATCTGTAATGTTAACGTAGTTCCCTTTGAAATAATTTAACCTATATAAACTTAGGGCATGGTGTGAAGACTGATTTGCTATTAGAGCTACAAACTAAATTGTCCCTTTGTTGTATTTGGGGAGAACATTGTTTTAATTGGTATAGTACTTGTCTACCAGTTTGTACTGGGATAACTTGTGAGTTGCTGGGATACTGAAAGCTGTGCCAGTGGTGTGTCAGATACCACAAGGGTTATCCATGGCGGACAAGTTTTAGTAGAGGTTTCAGATCCGACAGATGGAGAAGCAGGATTGGTCATCACTTTTTTTTATTTTTATTTTTTTTTTGGTCATCACTTCTTAAATAAAAAGCTTCTGAAAACCCTTCCAATAGTAGAGGGGCGTAAATAGTTATAGTACTAGTGGTGGAGGCCAGATTGGAGGGCAATCAAAATAAGGAAAATTAATGGCAAACATCCTTTAATAATGGTAACATGGAATGTACATAGCTTGAATGTTGAAAAACTATAAATTGTGAAAACTTGAGTGCAATGTATGAACATTGACATTCTAGGCTTTAGTTAGATGAGATGGACTAGCTCTGGCCACTTTGAATCAGATAATCAAGTACTCTGTTGGAATGAAAAACAGAAGAAGAATGGTGTTACATTCATAGTCAGCAAGTAATTTACCAATTCTATCCTAAAAATACAATGTTGTGAGTGATAGGATAGTATTGATATATATACAAGAAAAATCTGTTAAATACAACTATTATTAAAATATATGCTCCTACATCTAGAATGAAAGAGGAAGAAATGGAAAATTTTTAGTAAATCTTGCTGTCTGAAACTAACTGAACATGCAGTCAAGATGTGTTAATGGTAGCTAGTGATTGGAATGAAAAAGTTGGAAACAATGAAGAAGGAATAGTAGTTGGAAAATAAGGACTTGGTGATAAAAATGAGGCTGGAAATAGAACAATCGAATTTTATATTTACAATTATTTAATTCATTGAAAATATCTTTTTAAAAGACAGACGGCAACTTTCACCTGAGGGGGCTTTGTAGGAATCGGATTGACTACATTCATCTAAGGAGTCACTGGAGAAGATCAATATCAGCAGTCAAAACTAGGGCAGGGACAGAAAATCATCTTAAGAATAGGTTTGAAGCACTGAACACCAACAATTGAAGACCACATGAGTTGTGAGATGATACCAACCATATCATCCATGAAGAAAGCAAAAGCTCATTACAAAGACATGGGAGAAAGAAAAAACTGAAAAGGACATCAGAAAAGACTTTGAAAATTGCACTAGTGCATCAAGAAGCCAAAGCAAAGGGAAAATATGTCAGAGTCAAAGAACTGAACAATTTCAAAGGGTAGCTTGAGAAGACAGTGCACAGTATTAAATAGAATGCACAGAGAGTTGGAATTGGCAAATAAAAAGGGAAGAACTCGCTCTACATTTCAGAAGCAGATGGCAATATTGAAAACTCCTATGAGCAATCCATTGAATGACCCAGAAAGCATCAAAAAATGATGGAGGGAATACACAGAATCACTGCACCAAAAAGAACTGACTAACACTGAAAAATTTCAGGAAGTACCATATCACCTGGAGTCAGTGCTAATAAAGGAGGAAGTTGAAGCTACATGAAGGCATTGGGAAACAAACCAAGCCTCGGGGATCAATGGTATACCAGTTGAGTCGTTTAACTAACAGACGCACTCACCAGTCAATGCTGGAAAATTTGAAGCACAGCTATCTGGCCAGTGACTTGCAAGAGGTCCACAGTTGTTCCCATTTCCAAGAAAGGTGATCCAACAGAATGTGGAAACTATTGAACAGTATCATTAATATCACAAGTAAGCAAAATACTGCTGAAGATTATTCATATCACATGCAAGCAAGGGAATACGACATGGTTTAAAATTAAGAATGGAGTGTGTCAGGGTCGTGCTGTCTCTCCATACCTATTCAATCTTTATGCTGAGCAAATTATTTGAGAAGCTGGACTCTATAAAGAAGAATGTGGCATCAAGATCAGAGGAAGACTCATCAATAACCTGTGTTATGCAGATGATTTTGCTTGCTGAAAACGAGGACTTGAAGCACTTGTTGTAGAAGATCAAAGAATACAGCCTTCAGTATGGTTTGCATCTCAGTGTTATTGTTGTGTACCAAAGAATTAGAACTGACCCTCTGATGGGTTTTCAGAGGCAGCTAATTGCAGGGGAAAAGATTGCCCATCTTTCTCCCATGGAGCAGCTTGTGGCCTCAAATCACATGCCTTCAAGATTGTAGCACAGCTTCTTGCCACGAGGCTACTAGAGCTCAATATTAAGAAAAATTCCTATCACTGGACCTGTAAACAACATTATGCCAGATGGAGAAAAGATTGGAACTATCAACAGCTTTATCTTAATTGGATCCACAATCAGTAACCTTGGTACCAGCAGTCAGCAAAGAAGGAGATGTATTGCACTGGGAAAGTCTGCAGTCAGGGACCTCTCAAAATTATCGAGGAGCAATGATGTTCGCTTAGGGACTAAGGTGCATCTGATTCAGGCCATGGTCTTTCCAGTCACTTGCTGTGCATCTGAGAGCTGGACAATGAATAAGGATGACAGAATAAATGATGCTTTTGAGCAATGGTATTGGAGAAGAGTAATGAATATCCCATAGACTGCCAAAAGAACAACTAGTAAGTCTTGGAGAAAGTGCAGCCAGAGTGCGTCTAGGAGACAAAGATGATAGAGCTTTATCTCACATACTGTGGTCATGTTGCTAGGAGGGACTATTTCTTAGAGAGTGACCTAATGCTCAGAAAGGCAGAGGGTCAGTGAAGAAGAGGAAGATCATCAACCAGGTAGACTGACACAGTGAATGCCGCAGTGGGCTCTAGTGTTTCAGAAAGTGTGAGGATGGCATAGGATAGGACAGATCTGTTGTTTGTAGGGTCAATCTAACAACATCTAACACAAGATGATAACTTGGACAGAAAACACACATTTTCTATGTTTGACCATTACGAAGTGACAGCGTTTAATTCTAACTATGCTTCCTCCTTTCAACAGGGTATATACAGTAGCGAGCCTTTGTGAACGTGAAGATGAGACAGTCACTAACAATGATGAAGGTAATCAATATGGAACAACTTTCTGCTGGCCTGGAAATCTTACTAGGCTCAAAGGAACTGCTGCTGGAGTGAGTACTTTGGAATGTCTTGAGTGTGGCAAAGCCTACACGGATCAGCCATCATTTAAGCACCACATTGGATCTCACACTGCATGCAAGCCATATCTCTCCAAAGAATGTGAAGAAAACTGCCGCTTTCCTTCTTACTTAAAACCTTACATGAAAGAGAAACTTTGTAAATGTAAAGATTATGGGAAACTTTGTAGTTGCTCTCTGCCTGCCAGTAAGCATGTAAGAACTCAGAGTGGAGAGAGGCCATTTGAATGTAAGGAATGTGGGAAAGCCTTTCGTTATCTCTCCGGCCTCACCACACATATAAGGACTCACAGTGGAGAGAAGCCTTATGAATGTAAGGAATGTGGGAAAGCCTTCAGCTGTTCCTCATCCCTAACTACACATATGCGAACTCACAGTGGGGAGAGGCCTTTTAAATGTAAAGAATGTAGAAAAGCTTTTAGTTGTTCCTCATCTCTGACTACACACCTAAGATCTCACAGTGGAGAGAGGCCTTATGAATGTCAGGTGTGTGGGAAAGCCTTCAGTCGATCCTCACACCTCACTACTCACATGAGAACACACAGTGAAGAGAAGCCTTATGAATGTAAGGAATGTGGGAAAGCCTTTAGTCGGTCCTCTTACCTCACTACACATAAAAGAACTCACAGTGAAGAGAGGCCTTATATGTGTAAAGAATGTGGGAAAGCCTTTAAGCAGTTTGCACAACTCACTAGACATGTAAGAGTTCACAGTGGAGAGAAACCTTATGAATGTAAGGAATGTGGAAAATCCTTTAGTCAGTTTTCATACCTCACTGGCCATATAAGAACTCACAATGGATATAGGCCTTATGAATGTAAAGAATGTGGGAAAGCTTTTACTCGGTCCTCACACCTCACTACCCATGTAAGAACACATAGTGGGGAGAGACCTTATGTATGTAAAATATGTGGAAAAGCCTTTTTTCAATCTGCTCATCTCACTGATCATGTAAGAACACACAGTGGAGAGAAGCCTTACGACTGCAAGGAATGTCAGAAAGCCTTTAGTTGTTTCTCATCTTTCCGTAAACATATTAGAAATTACCATAAAGAGAGGCCTTATGACAGTACTGAAGGTAGGGCAACCGTTAATAATTTTGCACACATTACTGACCGTATAGGATCTCAGACTGAAGAGAAGCTGCACTTCAGTGAATTGCTGTAATATGTCCCTTCGAGTCATGACCTTGTAACTCCCAAAATTTATTGGATGCAACTATGCAAATAGAGTCCATAGTACCTTTGTACCATTTTGGTCAGTTTTTCCATCTCACAGATTTTTTTTAAAGAGTCAATCCCAGAAAGTGGTATGGAGGACTTGACTTTGAACCGTGAGTCCCCAGGTGGGAAGAACCGTGTGAGATGAGATGTGGCAGCAAGCACAGGAGAGAAACAGGTGACAGTACATCTAGGAGACCACACAAGATAGGGCTTCTTGGCCCTCAGAGGAAGGCACTGACAGTGGGCTTACTAACTCAGTAAGAGCTGAGCACCTGTGGGCAGTAATCTTACTGGCACAGTAAGGTACCTCCAAGTTGTTGCTGGAGTTGAGTTTGTTCCACACAGAGTCAAAGAGCTGAATGCCTTCTGGCAAGAGGCTTCCTGGAAGAGTAAGGTTCTTTGGGGAAATTAACATCATGATTATAAAGCTGTAAGCTTACCCAAGAAAGACAAAGGCCAGCAGTAGAGGCCAATCCAAGTAGAGCTCAACAACAGCAATGGCCTTATCAGTGGCAGAAGATGAGAAACTGATTGAAGAACTGAATTCTTGAGTAATTACCTTCCATGTCGATCTTGATCCTCAACTGTGCCCTGACATTTCTCTAAAATGCCCCAGTAAAGTATGGAGGGGTGCTTTGGTGGCCTAGTGGCAAGATGCTGCGCTGTAATCACAAAAGCACCCGTGCAAATCTACCAGCTGCTCTGTGGGAGAAGGATGGGCAATCTCCTGTGCAACTAACTGCCTCTCAGAATCCACCAGAGGGTCAGCCATGGGTCGGTTCTGACTCTGTGGTATTCAGAAACAGTAGTATGTGAGTTTTATATGGCACTTGCAATGATTTATAGACCCTAGAAGAGAAGTAGAGTGCGCCATAGTTGGGTTTGGCTAGTGTCTGAACTGATTAAATGGTTGCAAAATGTAGTTTATCTCCAATTCTGGATGTGAGCGTGATCTGACTACAACATCTATCACCCCATTGATCACCAGGGTCGATTTGGCTGATCTGGCTCACTAGGCAGGTGTCCCCTTCCTCCCTTACCAATCCACGTGCATCCCTCCCGAAACTGCGTGCTCGGTTGAAGAGGACGACCATCCCTGATAGAAGGAAGACTGTCCTTCGGCCAAGGGTATACGAATAGCTGTGCTCTTCTGCTAGAACCTCCAAGCAAGCTCTCAAGGTCCAATTCAAAGGAAACAGCTTAGGACTTAGAGCTGATGATGGTAGGGATTCTTTCTCCTCCTGAAATGAGAAGATCGTTTCTCATGCCATACTTCTTACAGATACCTTATGAATAGTCATGAATATGGGAAAGGCTTTAATTGGTTTCATCCTTCAGTAAACATTTAAGAACTGTACAGAGAGGCCTTATAAGAAAACTTCAGTTTTTCAGACTCTTAAAAATTTGAGGAAGCTGACTGCAAAGAAACATGTTTAAATTCTTTTAAGTGTTTGGTAATCACTAATCTCTTAAAAACACTGAAAGAAAACAAATGAGAAAGAAGCCATGTGGTAGAAGTCATGTGATATGGTTTAATGTTGCTTTTCCCCCTGTAAGAGAAGACTAATGCATATGGGAAAGCGGTCACTATTCCTATTAAATGTGAGAAATCATAGCTCTGAAAAAAAAATCACATGTATGTAATGAACATGGAAGCATTTCGGAATCTTTTGGCATTCTTAGAAAATATATGAAATTGTACACAATCATCTTATGAATGTAAAATATGAGAGAATTTTCCTGTGTCCTTTTTCACTTGGAATCCATACACACCTCTCTTTCAGTTACAGCACATGAATAAGTATCAAAATGTCATTTTGGTTCTTTTACATACAAATTGTCTTTATTATAAATTCTTATCCACCTATTTGTATCTTAAAGTGTGTTTTCTTTTTATCAACTAAATTTTGAAAGGTGTTACACTTTTACACACTCTAATGCTGTATATATTCAATGTACAAAATTATTTTAAGGAATATTATAAAGAAAAGATGAAAGAAAAAGATGAAAGATCACTCAATAGTCCATGTCTCTTGTTTGGGGTATTTTTTAAACTTTCTCTGTATTGAAAAAGTAGTCTTTCTCATATCAGATCTTGTATTTTATTTATAGTATGGTATATTTTTTTCATTTCCTCTTATTTGTCTGTCATGACTATTATAATCTCTGCTTTACTGGTATGGAACCTACACACCCTCTCACAACATTGTGCCTTGCAAATGATTCGGTAAGAAGCTGGGTTTGTGTGGAAGGAGAGTCCCTCTTAGGGGGTTCATATGGGCCCACAGCAGTCAAGTTCGTCCAGCACAGGACTAGAGCCTGTACTTTAATAACCCGGCTTTATTTTTTTTCCCCCTATGGTTTCTAGAAAAAGCCAGAAACCTCCTTAATGAGAATGTGGCAGGACTAGGGACTGTTTATGTGTTGTCCACGGCGTCATCATGATTTAGAACAAACTCAACAGCACTTAACCAGAGTCTTTATGAAAGCACATGGCTACACCTTTCTCCTGTGGTTAATTCAAACTGCTTACAGGTCCATTAAAGTGGGTAATGCTTATCCACTAAGATGTCAAGACTCCTTCCATTGATCTTAATAATAGTAGAAGTAGTAAAAGTATAAAAACAATGTCAATGTACAGCAGCAGTGGGATTTTCAGTAAATGCTAGGCTGCATGTCACTGTTGCACTGTAAATTAATTTGTCAAAAAGAAATTTGCTCTACAGAAGAGGCAATGAGTTTGCTATTGTTCGAAAGGCAGGGCATAAAGTAATGTCCATATGATGCTTGCTGTTTCATAAAACACTCTGATATGCAGACAGATCAGGCTGCAAAGAAGTCTAGGGCATTACTGGATTCTCTTGCAAAGGTGACACTAATTCTGTGGTCACTGACTCATAGTTACTCTGTGTACAACAGAATGAAACCCTCTCCTGTACCTCTCACAGTCATGTTTGAATCTATTATTGGAACCACTGTACCATTCCATCTTGTTGAAAGTTGTCCTTGTTACCTAATGCTGCTACAACAAATTGCCACAAGTGGATGGTGCCAATAAATCTACTCTCACATTTTGGAAGTCTGAATTCAGAGTGTCAGGTTATAGGAAAAGCTTTCTCAGTGTTTCCTAGTTCTAGATTTCAAATTAATGTCTCCTGGTGCATCTACAGGGTGAAACAACACAGTGAAGTGTTGCAGAATTCCCATTCCTTGCAGTGGTACCTATAATTCGTTACAATCCCCAGAGTCAAATGTCATTTAACTAGATTTAAGATCTATCTGCAAGTCTCTGCTTCCACCCAAGGTCTATGTGACATCACCAATGATATCCCTGGTTATGTCCCCTTCTAAATCTAGCTTGAATTTTTAGCTGTTGTTGTTGATCTATGACTACCCAATTTTGAATCATCTTCCAGGAAATTTTGCTTACCTGTAATAATATTGTTCGATAATTTCCACTTTGTTTTAAATTGCCTTTCTTTGGGATTAATGTGAATATGGATCTCAACTTACTGACTGAAGTATGGTGAGAAAAGAACCATGATGCACACTTATCCTGATTTTAAACCAGGTGGTATCCCCTTGTTCTGCTCAAATGATTATCGCTTGGTGCATGTATACAGACTGACTCCCAGAAGTTGTTCGTTCCCCCATCCCCACCCTTTATCCTCTACCCCACATACATATATACTGTACCAAACTGGTTCACAAGTTCCTTCCAGTGGCTACACAGGATATACAGACCATACTCACTCACTGCTATTTGTTCATTAGGGAAGAAAAGGTACAACTCCCGATCACGAATAACCTGGTAGCAAGAACAACTCAGAAACAGGATCAGGAAGCAAAGTCAAGTTTGGAAGCCTCTCACAAAGTAGACGGGGGTGGGGGAGTGAGGGGGTGGAGGGGGTGTAGAGTGCACACCTCTCCTTGAGGGCAGAAGAGTGTGGCTTCTATTAGGCCATGTTTACCTGGCCACTCTGCTATGCTAACAGGACATTCTCTATGATACCAGGCAGGCCATTTTCTGGGTATACAAGACCTCTCTTCTTTTGACCACCACCCTCTGTTGTTGAATGGCCAACTGCAGAGCAAGTGTAACAACTTTCTCAGCTTTCTTAGCTGCTTTCCAACTAGCAATTTTCTGCCATTGCCTCCTCACTGCCACTTAGCCCTCTTCCAGTCCTTTTGCCACTGACCTCTGCTGCTAGGATCCTCAGGCTCTTCCACCAGGCTCCTCACAGGTAGTCCTAGACAAGCACTTAGCAGAGGTTCCTCTTTTAAGAACTCAAGGTACAAACTATTCTGCTCCATCCTATTCCTGATTTTGAGGATCTCTCACTTCAGTTGTGGCTTTCTGTGAAACTACTTTTATGTAAGAAAATGCCTTTTCAAGTAAAAGGAGCCCAACTGACTAGTCCTCTTAGTGAACTTAATCCCATTGGATGTCTTCTTAAGCCACTAGTTCTTGAAAGATGTTTTAAACAGACCCATCACAGGGTAGACTGCAACCTAGGGTCTACAGATAAAAAAAAAAATAATACCAAACCACTGAGTTGTTTTCTAACAAACCCAGGGAATGTCAATCAACCTGAGGAATCCCCAGGAGCAGTTCTCCAGAGTGTATAAAACCTGAGAGTCTTTCACCCAAGATGATCTCCAGAGAACTAAGGCAATAAGGTAACTTCTGTTTAGGTGGATAACATACAAACCAAGGAAAGGCCACATAAAAGGAATGTTATTTAGTAAAAAGTATCTATGAAAACCCAAGAGCCAACATTGTTCTTAATGGAGAGAGGTTAAAGGCATTCCCTTTAAGAACAGGAACTAGGCAAGG